GTGGGAGAACTTGCACAATTGGTGGCTGACTAAATACTTTTTTGCCCCACTGTATCTGTGATGACACCAATAGGCAAATGTGACTCAAGGAAGTCTTTACCTTAAGCTGCTTCTAGTTTATGGGAAGTTTGCCCCCATATAGCTTTGGTGTTTCCAGTTTTCATTTTCTGCAGTTAGTTCAGTGCTTCCATCATTATTCAAAGAGAGAGGAAAAGAAAGTTAGGAAGTGGAACCAAGTATCGGAGCATCCACACGCTCTCCTCTTCTACTTTATGCTGATTCTATCTCTAAGTGAGGTAGCAAGCAGGAAGCATTTATTTTTTCTGGATAGGGGAACACATACCTACAAATGGTAAAGAGAAATGTCCATTGAATAGCAGTCATCTCATCCTCTTGATCCCTTACCTCCGTGCTCTCTCTCTGGTGGGCTGTAATTTTCCAGACTGATCTTCTGGGATCCTTTCTGGGAGGCTCAAGGTCATTTTGTTCAAATGCTTTGGAGCTCCTACAGAGAGAAGCCCCACCCAGTCCAGTATGCTTCCCATTCTAGCCCTTTGCCTCTTATCTCTCTCTCTCTCACACACACTGTGTGTCTGATAAGGAGGAGAAAATTAAGGTTATGCATTGCCTTTTCAGTAGTAACACTGTAAAAATCAGTCCAGACAGGTTTGTATGTCCTAGCTAAGTGCATTAGGATCTGAATAGAATTGTTCAAAAAAAATGTGTGTCTTTTAGAACAAAACTAGACAACCCATGACCCGTTGAGTCATTGTTTCAGAGATATTTCCTTACCTTAACAGAGAAACAGAATGACCATGGGCGGTCAGAAATGCAGTGGGAGCAGGAGCGACTTCTGACTTCCTGCCGGCTTCTCCTTTTCCTTGTGGGAAGCTGGCAGGGAGTGTTAGAAATCTTGAGGTAACTTGGTTCAAAAATTGTTGCCCTATGATGCACCATTTTGCCCAATTGACGGTTACAAACAGACACAAGAGTTTTAGTAGTTTACAGATTGCCAACTGAGAGTGTGGAAATGCATTATTATTCTATCCCCTTTCTTTTCTTCATACAGGTGATCAAGCACGAATGTTTTTTTTACAGTCAGGTTTGCCAAGTCCTGTTTTGGCTGAAATATGGTGAGTATCTTTCTCTGTGTGAATTAATTATATTGAGAGACTCCAGGGCTACCATACAAAGAAGTTATTCCAGTGTTGGCATGAGATGAGCCTCCTGCTCATTGAACAATGTTATGAACAGGAGCTTGCAATTGTATGAAATTTCTATAGATCCCTGTTGTATATGGGGAATTTCCATTTCAAAATAGTTGCTGCTATCCCCAAAACTGACCCTCACCTCTCAGAAAAACTAAACAGCCTGTGACTTTGCTAATAGCTTACCTGTTGCTGAATAATTCTGGTCAGTTTCATACTTCCTTGCTTTATTTAGGCTATTACAGGTAGTCCTCGAGTTATGAGAATAATTGGAAACAGAATTTCCATAGCTAAGCAATGCGGTTGTAAAGTGCAACATCATGTGATCGCATTGCTTAGTGATAGCAGTCCCGGCACTCCCCATTGCCATCGTTAACCAAATCCCACCGGTTGTTAGGCGAGGATCTACTCTGATCCAAGCCACTCCTGGTTTGGTCCTTCTCAGCCCCAAGCCTCAGTAACGTAAGGGACTGCCCCCACCTGTCAATCTGCCCCCCATCTCTGCCCTTTTGGCTGCCAAGCGCCCAAATTTTAATCACATGACCACAGGGGCGCTGCAACAGCCATAACTTTGGGGACTGGATGTAAGTACCATTCATTCAGTGTTGCCATAACTTCGAACAGTCATTGAATGAATGGTTGTAAGTCGAGGATTACCTGTGTATGAATGGGAAGAGTTGGCAGGAAGGGAAGACAAGGAGTAAATTCACAGCAATCAAGACAGGTGGGATCAGTCTCTGGTGCATTTTATACTGGAATTGGAAGGATTAGAAGATGAAAGACTGGTTATTGGGAAGTGTCCTTACCATGCAATCATACTAATATAGATTCTGTGTTCAGTGGACTTTATTTTCACACAATTGTATTTAGGAATATATTCTGAATTCATTCGTTCTTTGAATATTATTCTCAATTATTCTTACTTTTCTCAAATACTTGTATTGATTGGCATTGTTGTAAAAATGGCACATTTATATCTAAATTTAAGTTTCTATCTTAAAGCAATAATATTAAGGCAGAACTCTTAAAATAGACTATCATTAGTGCCATTTCTGAAAATAATTTGAGAATCTGATTGGAGAACCCATCCTTTAAGGTTTTTCTTTTAAAAACTTTATTAACAGAGAGCACATTTGTATGGGGGCTAATGGACTTTGGTTGGTATTTTTACAAAGCATTTATAAGATTGGTAAGTTTTCCACCACACACACCTTTGTAAAGAAAGAGTTTTGATGTCTGGAATGTGGATGTAATTTTGTATCCTTTTTGAAAAACAGTTATAAATAGCACTCAGTGACCTATGGGCAAATATAGCCCTTGGATTCATGAACCAGGGTCTTTCAGTCCGCTGTATTCTCCCCCTCACCCATTGGCTGCTTTATATACAGGGGTTACTAAAGAACTTGCTTGTTTGGAGAAAAGGGATCAGCAACAGAAGTTGCTAGAAATAGTGGGAAAAACATCGTGCTTTGTCAGGTATGAGTAATTAACATAAAAATGTCTGCTATCACTAACAGTTGAACATATATACACATACATACGCTCTGTTTGTATGCATTTTGTTTGTTTTAAAGGGCTCTTTCTGACCTGAATAAAGACGGGAAAATGGATCAGCTGGAGTTCTCCATAGCTATGAAACTAATCAAACTAAAACTGCAAGGCCAATCCTTGCCTGTGGTGCTTCCTCCGGTCATGAAACAGACTCCAGTGTTTTCTCCTTTGATTTCCGCTCGTTTTGGTAATCATGCAAATATCTGGAGATTGGTCCCTTCTTTGTTACTGGTGATAATAATGGAGAATTCTCTGCAAATTTATATAAGCGTTACATTTGTTGAAACCTTGTGAAGAAAACATAGCTAAAGATTATTGTGATAGCTATTGATTACAGTAAAAAAAAAGTTCTTAGTTATATTATTTTCATTCTGCTGCTTTCCAGTATTTGGGCTGTGTTAATTTTCCAAACCAGCATGGGAAAACTGGCCATTTGGTGGTACAAATGAAATAATGCTTTGTGTGGGTATAAGCTGCCTAACTACGACTAGTTTTTACAACATCTGTCCTGATGTTAGGCACAAATGTCCACATTTGTAAAATACAAATTTATAAAAGGACAATAATTGATTAAAATATAATTTCATATTAAAAGTATATTCATAAAAAAAGCACATTAAAGTAAGAAATGTTTAGTGTACCACTTTGAATTCTCTGTCAGCAGCCAATATCATAAAAATCATTTTTAAAAACAGAAGCATATGTAAATGGAGCCATCTTGGGGAGAGAGATGGATTCCCATAGACTTGGGCTGGTATGTTTACATTGACTCTTTCATTCTTCCAGGTATGGGCAGTATGCCAAATCTGTCTACACCTACAATGACACCTTTGGTTCCCATGTCCAATTTGACATCTGTACCTTCCATTTCTCCCATGGTGATTTCAGCCCCACTGATGCCTTCTGCCAGCACTTCATCATTGCCAAATGGAACCTCCAGCCTTCTGCAGCCTTTAGCTATAGCCTACTCTTCCAGTGAGTGCAACCATGCCAGAATTCCAATTTTAACAGCCTGTCTCAGGCATTTTTGCATAAAAACAATCAAGACTGAAAATCCTGTCTAATCTCCCCACCTAGCAAAGATTTTTTCCTACTTTGTGTCATATTTCTTCCATTCTCCTCTGTTTCCCCAGGAATGCTGTGATATCCCCAGTCACTGAGAGAATATTATTCTTCTCCCTCCCCAATATTTTCCTTTGTATTGGAGAGCAAGAAGAGGGGTGAAGGAGCTTCACATTATTCCCCCCCAAAAAAAAATTATTTACCATTATTTACACAAACTGCTTTCCCCAAACGTCAGTGGAGAGGGAGATACTGACTCCATTTTTCCCCTCTACAAGTGGGATTTTTTTTCCCTCTACAAGTTTTGCACTGATAGATAATGGCAGGAAGAGAAATGGTTAAGCATTCCTTTCATTTCCTTTGTCACTTCTTTTACCTCTGAGGTCCTTCATTTAAGAAAAAAGAGCCATGCCCCCCAGATGGGGGAAAAGTTATATCAGTGGCATAGGTCCCCAATTTGTGGTTGGGTTCTGGGCAATGGCTTTTCTAGCCAGCTACAAAATAATGCAGCAATATTCCATGGACTTTGCAATCAGTCAAAAGGAGGTTAAAGCTGATTTTTAAAACAAAACAAAATTTCATAAATATAACTTTATATATAGCTTACATTTTCCAAAACAATGGCTATGTACCTAATGTTAAAAAGGGAATAAGATGGAGGGAGGAAATGTGAAGATGGGGATAGTGGAGAAAATGAAAAATTAAATAAAAATAGGAAAGAAGAGTTGAGTGTTAACTCAATTAACAGAGGGGTGGCAGGCAGTTCCTCACAACCCCTTTGCTGCCCTGAGGGAACCAGTAGAGAGCCTGAGAGAGCCAGCTGAGAATCAGTAGAGATAGTGAGACCAACATTTTAGAGTGCTTTGCTAGGGGAGGGGGCTTGATTGGCCTTGCAGAGCTTAAGATACTTATAGTATTTTATTCTTCAATCTAACTCCTATTCCCCCCAAAAGACTGACAATTTTGCCTAGGAACCAAAAAAAAAAAAGTATGGCCTCTGGCTTCAGGAGAGTTGTTCCCTCAGCTTTAGGTCAGGAGGCATTGGAGTCAAAGTGGTTCTCAACGCCAGTCCAAAGGTTTTCATAGAATCAAATCTGTGCCTGAAAGACAATGCACTTAAGTGTACATTCAAATGTTTTCTATATGAACTCCTTTGGTTTTCTCAATACTGCCAGGTGAGGGATCAGCAACAAGGATAGGTCTTGTTTTCCAACAGAGATGATGAAGTTTCTTTCCAGTACTGGGCTAATTATTAATCCATTTCAACATTTCTTTTGTTTCAGCTTTGCCTCATTCTAGTTCAGTCACTCCCATGGTAGGAGGATTTGGTGGTTCCAACATCCAGAAAACTCAGTCCTTGATAGATTTAGGATCTAGTAGGTATGGATCTTCAGATTTGAAATATTAAGTGTCAGTCATAGACTTATTTCTTTTTCCCAGCAAGACCATTTCTTTTGATTATCTTTGCAACTGAAGTAACTTTCGTCAAAAGTGTGGTCTCAGTATTTGGGAAGACTATTTGGGAAGAAATAATAATCTGCAGAAAAACATAAGAAGAATGCTAATTTTGAATATCACCGTTTTTTGTTGTTGTTGTTTTGTTAAATCAACTTTGCTTTATATTACAGTTCAAATTCTTCTTCTACTACCTCACTAACTGGCAATTCACCGAAGACAGGATCTTCAGATTGGGCAGTTCCTCAGGCTTCCAGATTAAAATACAGGCAGAAATTTAATAGCCTTGATAAAGGGATGAGTGGATATCTTTCAGGTTAGTGCTGGATTTAAAGATGGATTTTAAAAATATACAAGATTTATTTTAAAATGAATACTCTTTTTCAGTCATTATATTTCTGGTTCTGAAAGAGAACTTGCACATCACATCATATCGACCTAGTTTTAATTAACAAAAAGTTTTCTTTCTGTATTTTTGCAATACATATTAAAATGGATAGCATTTCAAAGGGGAACTTCTGTGAAAAGCCTTATTGTGAAATAAATAAGGTAAAGATAGAGTCTCCTTCAAGCCAAGGACAACTTCTGGGGACCTCATGGATGTATCTGTGTAGTTTTCTTGGTCACAGTATGCATGTAGTTTGAAATGCCTTTGGAGTGTTTTTTTGATTCCCAACCGAGCCTACAGCCCTGGGATTTCCTGGGAGCCTCCCAGTATTCCTCTGATCCTATCCTGCTCAGTCCTGGGCTATGGATTAAAGGGCTGCCCACAAATGAAATCTTAGTTCTCAGGCCTAGCTGGGGACGTGATACTCCGTTATCGAGGGCATGAAAGCATGTTGTAATTTTTCATGATTGTATAAATCAGGAATTACAATATTTTCAAGCCAGTTACCACAAGTGACTGTTCAATGGTTGCCAGAGGTTATACCCTAGAACGTGAGTTGGGTCAGGACAGAAACTAAATTTAATATGATTTAATTTTGACAAATTATTACGATAATACCAGCTGTGTTTATTATTTTTTTGCTTTCTGCACATTAACATTTACAGTTAGGGAGGGCAATGAATCCATCTCCCAAGGCTTGTGGGGCACATGTTCTCCTGGGGTCTCAAGTAATGCTCCACTGGTTACTGTTTAGTTGAAAATCCTGTGCTCGCCTACTTGGAAATACACCTTGTTTATTAAAGGGGAGTCACTGTATTGGGTTGTGAGATATATACTCCAATAAGCACATATTGATTGTGCTTGGAATGTCTTTTTGTAAGACCAGCCTTTTGGGATGAGATTTAAAATGAAATTAGTTACTTTTTACAATATGGATAATTAAAGTTCATAGATCTAACTAGTTTTACATGTTAACACATGTAGTAAATTTTTACATTTGATCTATTAAGGATTTCAGGCAAGAAATGCCCTTCTACAATCAAACTTATCTCAGACACAGTTAGCTACTATCTGGTAAGTTTATTCACGAATACATGTTTGTAAATTTTTTTAATAGATTGAAAATTTAACTTCAAATTCTTGAAAAGTACTACGACTACCTATTTTCACAACGATGACAAATAATGCTAAATTGAGCATTGTTTTAACTAAAGTTTATTGAATAGCTCAGGCTTAGTTTTCCAGAGAGAATAATCATGGATTGTTTCAGCAACTCCTGATTTGCTTTCCCTGTATTTCTTGTTAGTAACTGGTATCTAAATAACCTTGTGGCAATGAAGAATGTAATTGCTATGTATCTGTACAACATACACATTATATTCTGTGCTCTTTGCCTTTGGGCTTATGAGTGTTTGTGGAAATGGCCTTTTGTAGATGGAGGTTTGCTTATGGGTGTGGTTGCTGAGCTGTTTACTTTTTTGTTGCTGCATGTCAGTTTTTTGGTTTCTTTATATGGCACGTGTGGTAGCTTGTACTTGCTAAGTTATGTGCAAACTAGGTCATTATGCATTTAATATTGTGCTATTATTTCTGTATAATAAATAAATAAATAAATATTCCTAGATTGCAAAAGGAGATTGTTATACTATTTGATTTTTTTCCTGGTTCATTCATTTACAGGTAGTCCCCAGGTTAAGAACGCCCGGGTTACAGATGATCCATAGTTAAGAACGGACCCTATTGTAGCAAAATTTGAGTTCAATACACAGTGATTCGAGTTAAATACACAATGGTTTGAGTTCATTACACAATACTACTTACTGTATACTGTTCCGGCTTACAAACAAATTCAACTTAAGGACTGACTTTGGGAACAGAACTTGTTCTTAAACTGGGGACTAGTTCATTTAGCTTGTATGTTGCTTAATCTAAAACCATTCACGCTGCATGGTAGTGGAAATAAGCTATATAATATCTGCAGTTATAAAAACTGATACATAATCACAGCAAAAGCATTTTAAAGTTAACATAAATGAGACAATTATTTGTGCTTATCCAATCTAGTCAAGGCAAAACCAATCTTCAGAAGCCTTATGGAAGCATTTCACTTCAGCAGCTTTACCAAATCATGCCACAGAGGATACAAATTGACCCCCGGAGGGATCTCCAGACCCCCATTCTTCTCATCTCCCATATTTGGGGAATGTGTTGGGACAAGCATGGAGAACAAGCCATGTCTCTCTAGAGGAGGTGCTCCTGAAGATACCTGTGAACTCAGGCTTGTAGGGCTTTATAGGTAGACGTCTCAAAACAGGTTGAAGACAATGAATGAGTGGTTATCATACCAATAAGAGAGTTAAGTAGATGTTGACTTCTCCACGTAAAATCAGTGGCACACAACTACATAACATAGCTGAAATATATCTGGAGTCCTCCAAATTGGTATGTGCCAATACATGAATGAGGGTAGGGAGCCTATAGCCTTGTGGATGATAATGTCAACTCTCAAAGCCCCAGCTTGCCTGGATTTCAGCAACATTTTTATTGCTGCAGATTTCCTACCTCTTCCTATCGTACCATTAACGTATTGTTTCTAAATTTGATTTTTCAAAGCTGGTCCCTGCTTGATAATGTATATCCATGGAGACATTGTATGGAAAGAACAAAGTAGTTCTCCCCAGTTCCCTCAATTCTATTAATACAGATTTGTCTTTCCTAGGTCTTTGTCTGACATTGACGGTGATGGACAGCTGAAAGCAGAGGAGTTCATATTAGCTATGCATTTAACCGATATGGCCAAAGCCGGACACCCTCTCCCATTAACGCTGCCTCCTGAGTTTGTGCCCCCTTCTTTGAGGTGCATAACACAAGGTGACGTGTAATTAAAATTATAGATAAACACTAAATGATCTGAAATTTTAAAAAACAACTATGCTCTCTCTTTCTTCTAGAAGTGGAAAGTATTTGGAAAATACTAACTGTGCTCTGCCAACATACCAGCAAGAAGAGGAACCTCCACAGAAACTTCCAGGTAACTGGGCTCCTTTGTTTCTGGATTACAGTAGGGGGAAATATTTTTGAAAAAAAATGCTAGTAGTTTAGTTATATCTCTTATTTGATATGTATCAAGTTGACCTTATTTTAGCTTAATAGCTTGCCGAATTACAGCCCTAAGCATTTATTTATTTATTTGTTTGTTTGTTTGTCAGTCAGTCACATTTATATAGCCGCCCATCCCACATAAAGCGACTCTGGGCGGTGTACAACAGTTAAATGAAACAGCAAATAGATAAAAAAACAATCATTATAAAAAGATTAAAAAGTAACTAAATGAAAATATGATCAAAAATTGTATTACATTGTGTGGCCCAGGTACATTCTGATTAGAGCCATACATTTTCAGCAATAAAAATGGATGAAACAGCAATAAAGAGAGATGGGGCCGGGCAGAATGCTTACAACAGCAGCAGGGTACATAGAGCCCTTGAGATTTGAAAAGCCTCCTGAGTAAGGTTAAATGCATCTCCATTTGTCTTCCTTTGGTTGTTGAATGGTTCCTATCATAATCCACCTCTTTAACATAACTGAGAAGAATATGGCCTGATCCGTGTTTGTAGCACAGTGCCATTTGCTGTTCTTTCATCTAGTGACCTTTGAGGATAAGAGGAAGGCAAACTATGAAAGAGGCAATCTGGAGCTGGAGAAACGACGCCAAGTGCTCTTCGAGCAGCAGCAGAGAGAGGTGGAACGGAAAGCGCAGAAGGAAAGAGAAGAAAAGGAGCGAAGAGAGAGGGAGCGGAAGGAACTGGAGCGGAAGAGACAACTTGAGCTAGAAAGGCGCTTGGAAAAACAACAAGAGATGGAGAAACAAAGAGAGGAAGAACGGAAAAAGGAGATTGAAAGACGGGAGGTGGTTCTTCTGATTGTTTTGGGATTTAGACGTTTGACAAATCTGCATTCCCTTGAGAGTTTGGGGCCCTTTATGTACACTCCTTTAGAAAATATTTCCTTACTGGCCTGAGCACAATACTAAGAAACTGGGATTATTTTGTATTTTAGCTTTTATTCTGAATTCTAATTTAAGCAAGCAGTTTTAAAGTAAATGATAGTCTAACTTTCTTGGTGAACCTGAGCATTGACTAGAATAAGTATAAAAGCTGTGCCCCAGACACAGACACGTTTATTACAGCCCTAAGGCCAGATACAGTCAAAATATACAATAACAACCATCTTACATTTATATATATCTATAAAACAAAACAATATTA